ATGATAATGAACAAATCTGGATAATTAAAATGCAATTAGCAGAAGATAATGATCATGATTTGAAGAAGCTTTTCAATCAATTGAAGGCAGATTATGGAGGTGGTGAGAATGAAACTAATCTTCAATCTTTTGGTGATGTACTGCAGCTTATGGGAAAATATGATTCGGCAGAAAAAATATATTCTGATCTACACAAAACGTCTCCTTCCGATGATACATCATTTTGTCACTTATGCTTCTCATTTGGTATGCTATATAAAGAAAGAAAGGATTATGATCGTAGTCTACAATGGTTTCAGAGAGCATTGGACAGAAAAACTCGTACAAATCCTACTGATTTTGTCTACATTGGCGGTCTATACTGTTGTATTGGGAATATTTATATGGAAAAGAATGGTTATAATGAAGCAATAAAATATTATAATACAGCAATGGATTACTACAAGTGCGCAAATGCTACAAATCATCCATATATGGCTTCTTTGTATCATGGTAATGCTCGTATTTGCTGTGCTCAAAAGCAATACACAGAAGCATTGAACTATTATCAACGTTCATTGGTTATTCAACAGGAGCATTTACCTTCAAATCATCCAGATATGGCTATAAATCTTATTGGTATAGGTGATGTTTATCGTAATGTTGGCAAGTATCAGCTTGCCATGGACAATTACAAGACATCACTCGATATTAGAATGAAATCATTACCTCCTCAACATCAAGACATTGCTTCGAATGTTAGAAGCATTGGTCTATTATATGAGACAATGAATAATTTGAAAGAAGCATTAGAATATTATAAAAAAGCAGCGAGTATCTATCGTCAATCATTGTCGTCTGAAAATTCGAATGTAGTTGAAATTCAAAAAGACATGCAACGTATCATGTCAAAACTGAAATAATTTTACTTTCTATAAGTAGTTGCTCAGTCAAGTAAAATAATACTTTCTCCAAAAACTGTCAATAAGTTGTGTCAAATGAGATGAGAAGAGTATTGAATAGAGAAAAGAAGATTGATACATTCAATAGCATTAACTTTTAACTCTTTTTTGTTATCAAAAGAGTTCGATTATTCTATTCTATGTAATCAACAATAATTATAACTAAATAAATCAGAGCTTGTTAAGAAAATTTTCTTTTGCTTTTAGTGTTTTCAATGTTGAAGGTTTTTAGTGAATATAAATGATCGTATACTTCACTTTATCAAAGAGTGAGAGAGAGTGTGTGTGTGCCGATGTGGAAAGATGTGTCTTCTTTTCACCTACATCCTGACAGACGGGGAGAAGGGCATAACTTAAATAATGGTGAATATGTTAAAATAATGCTTGATATTAAACTACAACACATAAAATCATAATTGAAATAGATTGCAGCAAGAAACCAACAAGTAAATATAATGTCAAACTCTTTTGGAAATATAATATGTTATGCTAAGTTTTTAAACTTACTCTACACAAAAATGCTATCTCTTTTGAGAGTGAATCATTCTCCCCTATGCGCAGTCTATTTGTCACCGGTTCGAGTGATATTTTGATGACTAACCAGGGAACATTTCCAGGTGCAGGAGCGTTTTCGAGTCGAGACTTTGCGCATCTTATAGTCCTTAGTGAGCTGTGTCTATAACAAAAAAAGTTTGGGTTTCTGGCTTATTTCTGGCGAGATATTGAGTTTTTAGTGATTTTTTCTATATCATCTCAGTTTTGCAGCAATGCTATATCTTTGAATTTTGACCTGAAACTTTGCCCACATAAAGGTCTCAGCTAGACTAGCTTGCATAAAAAATGTCAGAAGTTTTGAACAAAGTCTCTCCGAAATATAAAACCATCAAGGTACAGATGCTTGTTCATAGATAGTATATGTAGTATGTATTTTTTCAAATCTTCGTATCCCGGAGAGACTTTGTCCAAAACTTCTGAAATTTTTTATGCAAGCTAGTCTAGCTGAGACCTTTATGTGGGCAAAGATTCAGGTCAAAATTCAAAGATATAGCATTGCTGCAAAAGTGAGGTGATATAGAAAAAAATCACTAAAAACTCAATATCTCGCCAGAAACCCAAACTTTTTTTATTATAGACACAGCTCACCAAGGACTATAAGATGCGCAAAGTCTCGACTCAAAAGCGCTCCTGCACCTGAGAATGTTCTCTTGTAAGTAGGAATTTTAATTTAGGGATTCTTTTTACTTGAAGATATTTTTATTATAAGATATGCTACACATAGCATAATTCAATATCATCCTAGATCTCCTATCGTACTGTATGAATCTGATGATCAGATCACGATGTAAAAACACATCGCATGCGATGATACACACCACTATATTTAAAATTGGAAGACACAGTTCTTCTCGAGATCAATGAAACCGGCGTACCTATATTCTTTGATGCTCTCACTCTTTGATGTACAGTGTCAGTTAGACTAATTTATATATAGGGTGTTGTTAATATAGAGAAGAACTTGAATTTCTAAGTTTAAATATAGTGCTGTGTTTACAGTTTGTATCATCAAACGCGATGTGTTTTTACATCGTAATCTAGTCACCAGATTCATACAGTGTGATAGACTGATCTAACATGCTATTGAATTATACTATGTATAATATGTCTTATAAAAAAAAGATTCCCAAGTAAAAGAAGCTTGTTGGCGCAACTCCTTTGAAGCTGAAATGTGGAACTCATATATATCCTTAAACCTTAATATTTTAATACATCATATGTAAACTGAAAAATTTCGTGTATATTGTAGTTGTTTTCATTGATAATCAACGACAAGAGCGAGACTTTGTTATTTATGTCTACATTTAAAACAGAATTTTTTTTTTGTTCGAGAGCGCCCTATTTTTCTTTTAGATTGTTGCTATTCCCCCTTTATCTTTCATTTTTTTAATTTAAAATTGTTTTTCGTAACTCAACATTCTTATTATTATAATCATTGAATTAATTGGCAAATAAATCTGTTTTATATATTCATGATATCTACAGAAGATCTTATGCACTATTATATATATTAATCAGCTCACAAACAATGATGTTGATTATATTTCAAAATTATAGCTTGATCAATTTTTCAAAAAAACTAGAAAGTCTGACGCCTATTATTCTTAATTGCTAAGGTCTGTAATGTTCTCTTTCCCGTTGCTATGTGTCAGCAATGGAGGGGGTGTAGGGAGGAGGGGAGCCCCCAAACCTTGAACTTAAAACTTACACTCATTTTTTTCTCCGAAAATATATGGAGACCTGAGAAGTCATATTTTTTTGACTCCGAAATTTTTTTCCATTTAAATTAAGATTTCCACTTTGCTAATAATGATGATGAAGAAGACATTGACGTGTTGAATTTTTGGCATAAACTACAAGGTTTATTTCCAACTTTATCTTCAATCGCTAAGAAAATCTTTACAATAGCTGCTTCAAACACCACGATCGAACGCCTTTTGTCATCGTCGAAAAACAGTAGTCGGCAAGTGTAGAACAAATTTTGATGATGAAAAGCTTAGTCGGCTCATGTTTCTTAAAAAAAAACTTAGTTGTATTGAAAGAATTTTATCAGGTCAAGACGACACCAACGAAAAGATCAAATTTTAATCTAGTTTCAATTATGTCAGACCATTCAAGTAAAATAGTAGTTAAAAAAAGCACGTGAAGATGATGAAAATATATCTAATGACGAAAGTGGAGATACTGAATGGTACCGACCTTTTGTGAAACACGATCTGAAAGGAGTGTTGAAGTATATAGGGTAGAAATTTGCACCCACCCCCTTCTCCTCCTCATAGATCGTGACAGACACGGCCCGGACCCATCACAGACCGTGATAGGCACCCTTCATGGATCTTCACAGCGACTGATAGCCACCTTTAACAGACTATCAAATCTTCTGTATAACTAACCTCTAATCGAAGTATTGATGAAGTGTTTCCTCTATGAAATTCTATTCTGTAAATTTAGCAATGCTGGTGGAATATGCCCAGTATATGTAAGAAAGAGCAGTCTTTAGGGAATTAGTAAGCCCAGGTATATCGTGTTTTACATTTTAATCCCGCAAGGATTGCGCTAACAGCTTTTTTTTTTTAGCAATCATTAGTTGTAAAAGTTAATCTAGTGTGGATAGGTTTTTTTGTATTTTTATATTTGATGTTACTTAGCTATTAGATTAAAAGTTCTTGTTAACAAGAAATTACGATTCTGAAAGAAAAATTTTGTACAAGAAAGGAATGCAATAGCATTTTCGAAGTTTCTATAAATTGCATCGACTCCGACTTCAGTTGGGTTTCGGAGTTCGATGCAGATCTCTAGTTAGTAGAGATCATCAAAACCGAGACAATCTCATCGTTTTTTGTGACAGTTGAAGTTGTGTTGCAAAAGTTCAATATATTTACGAGCTATGAGCTCTAGTTTACGAAAATGATGTTTGTTTTCCGTTTTCGTAGTTCCTAAAACTAGAGAAAGCCTCCGTTTTCAAAAGTTGTTTGTATATTATAAAGATTTACATATTTATAACTTAAGGAAACAGAAAAGTTTTGTCAAAAACTTCTCCTAAGTAACCAAATTTTCTAGAAATCTTAATAAGATATAAAATAATTCTTAAATCTGATTTACAAAAGAGTAGGCTTTGAAGAATAGGATCCCTAAGTTTCAAGATAAATGAGTGAACATTTGCAGAGAGATCAAGAGATGAGCATAATCTATTCGTTCTTTGTCACATCACTAACGAGCATATTATAATTTTAACGGCAGTAAATTCAATGTTTTTTTTTCAAATAACTTATAATCTTAGTTTTAGTGAAAAGATGGACATTTAAAATTATTTCCTGGATAAACGTATCAAGCACAGTTCGTACTCTTTACCAACTAGTTTTATTTCAAATTATCTTGCATTATTTAAAATTTTTGCATACAATTACTGCACTCCATCTATAAAAAAACAATGTTGCACCCCAAGTGTGTATCTCATTTGAGATCGTTGTGCATTATGTTCTTAACAAGTTACGTACATGATGTCCAGGTAAGTCTTAAAATACTGACGAGTATGATGTTCATGTGAGACTAAATAAATTACAGTTATGAATGTCAAGGTTGTCACTCGAAAATGATAACTTGGCTAGTTATAAAACATGGATTCACCATTTGTGGGAAAGTACAGAATCAAGAAACGTGAGCTCAACATTTTGAATCTACGTAGTTTCAAGGTCATTTTGTTTGACCGCAACACTCCTAATTTAATCTGTTAATGTTAACAATTAGATTGTCTATTAATAATTCACTTGTCATCTTGCAACAGCTACTATAAAATAGGTAAAATACGTGAACGTCACTAATAGGATCCTACAAGTTAAATGATTGTTTCAAATCCAAATTATATTCATTAGATATTACACAGTTACTTAGCGTTATATTTTTACTATAGAAGATGTTTTTTGAACACCAGCAAATGGATTAGAATAAGGAAGCCAGTGTTCAGCATGACCCGAACATTCGTTTTTCTTGTTATTATTAAGCATTATTTGGTTTTGTTGTTGTACCTAGGTCAAGTTTCAATTATTCTATGACAGAGACATTCGATGAGAAGTTCAATGCTGACTCACGTTCATCATCAAAACACCACTAGATAGCTGCATAATGATGAGTATGCCGAATTTTTGTTGCGCTATCTAATATTCGGCGAAAAAGGAGAATAGAAAGTAATGCAAACATATTCATCTGGTGTGACTGACGGTATGGATGTGTGTATGAATGTGGCTATAAGTGAGTATGGTTGGAGGTGTTGGATGTGAGACTTCTCCATAACTATCCATAACCAACCACATCGTCATTTTCCAACATGACTGTTATTTTATAAATGAAAAGATTTCCATCTTTTGAGCTTTTCTCATGAATACATGTATTCGTTTTATACCTGAAAA